GGTTTGTATATGTTCTTTTCAATGACATTGTCTGTAATTATAGAAATATGTATGACAAAAAATTCAAGGAATAAATATCAAAAGAATATGCTTGCACAATAATCACAGATTAATTAAGCGATACATTGTAATGTAAAGCTTAAAATGGGTAGCCGAAAAGGTTCCAAATGACGTACTAAAGTGCACTCATTCTTTTGTTTTTTACCTTGTGTATTTTTATCATACCGTGTGTGGCCAATTTCTAAACCTAAAAAAGTACAATCTGCTTGCAAGGAACGAAATATGGATGTGACTGACGGTTAAATCTCATATTTTTGAGACATTTAAGGCTGTTACTATTTTTTTTTTTATTTTGAAAAGGGGGGGGGGTTCCACACTTCAGGTGACTGTGATCTCCAAAGAAACGAAAAGAGCTTGATTACAATTTTAATAATGAAATGCTGTAATTTATTTACTGAATAAAAGTAATGTTATCACAGTGTGAAAGAATGTCAAAGTGATATTTTGTCACAGTGTGAAAGAATATCACAGTGTCTCGACACTCTTGATTTTCTTTCCCTTCTCGAAGAGTGTTGTTAAAAAAACCTCCATTGACTGTTATGAAATAGAGTAAATAAACCATCCGGCGGAGATTAAAACTGCTTCTGCAGAGATCTGTATTTTAATGAATGCTTGCAAGATAGAATTAATTATATTTAATCCTTTATCAGAGGATGAGTTGCTTAATATTTTCTTTCTTCCTCTAGATAAAAAGTTGACAACATGTTCTTCCTCTAGATAAAAAGTTGACAACATGAAGGGGAAAAAAAAATAGTGGAGAACACACTATTTAATTTAAACAACAAATTCTCTTTATTTAAGAAATCTACCCGATGCTTTCAACTGGTCGTCATATTGAAATGCCAACGCCGAATAAATATGGATTGACATGTCCGTCAAGATAAGCCGGAAAAGTATCAAATTGCACCTCCATAATGAGTCCATTGGCTCCAGCAAGATTCTGCGCCTGAAAAGTATTAGATCTAACAGGTAAGGAAACATATCATTTGCAGCCAAATAAACGTGCTTGCGATTGTAATATCACAGGAGTTCGCAATTTTATCAATAAAGTCAATAGCATATCTAGGAATGCAACGCGTTTTTGGAGAAATCGACCATTTTGCTTTTACCAACCGCTAAATCAATGCACAGGAGTCGGCCGTTTTATCCATAAAACAACGTAAACAACAACCAGTGAGCTTCGCGAGCGTAGCGAGCGAAGCGGCTCGCGAAGCTCACTGGTTCTTGTTTACGTTGTTTTATGGGGCCGACTCCTGTGATCAATGCAACGTAAAATTCAGTTAGATTAGTTTTGACAGTGGGTTAGACGTAATTGACTTGAAATCAGTCTGAATGGACAAGGTGGGCGATTTAATATATTCGAGGGGTCTTAAAATCTCAGTTTAACTAGTACAAATACAGGCGACACAGACAGCTCTCTGAACGACTTTGATGGCACAGATTTTTATTTTCTTATTGAAATGTGACATTAAAAACAAAGTAAAAGAGAGGTGCAGCAGTCATCAGCGATGAGGATTTAAGACGAAAAACGCAAAAAAAAAAAAAAAAAAAAAAAAAAAAAATGTATTTCAAGTACGGAAATGCGGTATTATTCAAAGTGGATCGGTAAAAAATCCGGAATTCCTAAAAATCGGTAGAAATGGGATTATAAAAATATATTGGTAGACAAGCGGTAGGTAGGGTTAAAAATCAGTAGACTCCCGAAAAAATTGGGGAAGTTGGCATGTATGTATTTGATCGAGTTTGCACGAGAAGAGTGGAAAGGGGAGGGGGGTTATCGAATTTCACTTAAAGGATGCTGAATCTGTAAACCCATTGGCTTTACCATTTTGAACGGGACACAAAAAAGTCAGGAAAGCAAACAGGTTTTGAGGAATTTATCCAACACACAGGATGTTTTCTTTAATTGCGAATTTTCCGTTTTTGTTTGGATGGAATAATGTGTATAGATTCTGTGTGGAATAAATTTTTAAAAGTGATTGTAAACATTTGACATTTTACATTCCTAGGGAAATATGACTCTAAAATTTATAATAGGAAAAAATCCACATTTACTATTTGTATGTGCTTTTGATAAATTGAATCAGATTTATTTTTAAACCGTGCTGTAGTTAAGATACAGGATAGTTTGCCAATACAAAACAATATATAGGGCTAATACAGAATGGAAAATAACTCCACCCACTGTAGTCCCATTCTGTATTGCTAATACAGAACAGCGAATTTCAAAGAAAAACACCGCTATCGTGTCACAACCGCTCTTTAATGCGGTCAATACCCACTTTCTTTGATTTTGTGTAAACATTTGTTTTACCGAGAAGCCATAGACTGTTTCACGGTAACTGCTGTACTGCTCTTTTGCAGGGCAAAATGTTATAGTTTGGTGAAATATGATGATGTAATTATTAAATATATGTTCATTTGATTATATGTCCAAAAAATTCTCCAAGCGTTATTATTTTGCCCTGCAGAAGAGTTTGTACTGCAGTTACCATGAAGGGGCTGTGACGTCACATCAACTGTGAACCTGACAGTTGCGAACTCCTTTGGTCATATAGATAATATGTTGATGGTGTGACCGTTAGGGCGAGCGCAGATCTATATCTATTCAGTTTTAATTTACATCTGTCTCTTTAATCAGCAATCAACCGTCACGATATCCCAGTCGTTAGAGAGCTCACTCCATGATCGGAAGGTCGTGTGTTCGAATCACGGCTGTGACTGACGTAAGTCGATAAAAAATTGGTTCCTTTGCCAAATGCTCGGTACTCTGGAGTGAAAGTTGCGGGTCCTTCGAAAGAGACCTTAAAACTTGGACCCTGTGTCATGTTAGGCATTGGCACCATAAAGATCCCTCACTGCTCAAAGGCCTTGAGTGCTGTGTAGAGGTCTAAATTTAAAGCCCTTTGCCAGTATATAAAAAAAATCCTGTCTCACAGGTGAGATAAATTCCATATCCAACTACAAAACATTGAATTTTCTGTTTATTACATTTTCTTTGATTTCTCCATGATTTCTCAATGAGTGGCCTTGCATCCAGTTAAAGATTCAATGTAGGAAGGCTAGCTGTCTCAAACATTTCACAATCCCAGTTTGGCAAACATTGCACAAGAAATCCTATCTCAAGAACTCAATACCGATTACGAGCAATCTTGTGAAGGACCGATCAAGCCCGGGGGAGAGACAATTAAACAATTGCTATTCAGGTTTCATGTAATCATGAAATGAGAACAAATAAATATTAAAACTTAAAATAATCATTTTATTTATTCAAAATACGATCACTGTTTTTGAAATCAAGTGAATAACCTGTAAAATACGAAAGAAAACATGTAATGACATTATCAACATTTACATCCGGTATGTATAATAGTAGAACAATGATGATCGGAGCTGAAAATTCTGAATTTTATTCACTTTCTATCTCTTGAACCCCTTGATCTCGAACTTTTCTTACGGTCCCTTGAACTTCGAGAGATCGAGAGTCACCTGTAATATGATATTTTTATTCAATTTAAAAAAAAAAAAATATCAACTAACAAATTTCAGAGCATCAAGTCTACCAAAAATGAAAGACTTGCAATCCATCAAGTTTTACAATCTAATAAAAAACAATGTATTGAATATAATGATTAATATTTTGATGTATTATTAGGCTGTACTTTGTTAGCTAAATTGTAATTGAATTTCAAATAAATTTTGACTGTCAATGTTAAAAATTTTTGAACACCTCTAGATCCATAAAAATACCTTTAGTGACTTGGTACCTTTGTACTCCTCTGCTTTATACTTAGTTTATAACAGTGTTGAAGTATTCTCAATCTATAATGTAATATTTGTGATATTAAATTAATGTCTACATCAAAGGAGATGTATAAACATCAAACATTATAAGGAATGGAACAATTATTGAAATCTTTGTATCAAGGTTGACTTGATTTTCTTGCGCTACACTGTTTATGATAATTGAACAATATTTGATGGGCATATCATGCAGGGTGGGGGGGGGGCACTTTATTTTTAAGGCCAAGGGGGTACACATATACATCCGGTGACAGTTTTTTCTGGCTAATTAATTACACTTTATATGCCCATAGCTCTCAAATTATGTCAACATATAACACATAAACTACCTATTAGAGTGCACATGTACTGAAAATGCACTTGGAAACTCCCCAAATTTTGGCTTGTTTTTCCAAGATTGTGGCATCAATTCAAGAAAAGTAGACATTTTTTGTGTAAGAATGAAAAAAATTAAAACTATATTCCAGGAAATTCAAAGTAGAAATTGGAGAAAGCAAAACCAAATTACCAGTATTGTCAGCCCATGGTCATTGATGTGTGCAGGGTAAACAAAACTGAACACACCTGATAAAACATAAACATTAACAGCACTCATGCCCTGTTTACAAACACAATAGTTTAATGCAATGTTATTAAGAATATTGTGGTAATTGAATATAAGAATATTCATGTAATTTATAAGTTTAATGTATTAAACTAAAGCAATTTTTTTGATAAAATAGAAATTAAAAATTGTAAACAATGCAACTGTGTCCAGGTCCCTTTAAATTTCATTTTGTGGTATAAAGAGACCTGCAAATTCATATCCCACACCAACTGTAAAATTACAAATGTGAAATTATTCCGTACTTCTTAAACTACAAAATCAAATTTCATTCAATTTGAAAGAATATTTTTCACCCAAGCCTCATGAATATGAATATATTTAATTTTTTAAATCATAATTAAGAAACAAACAAAAAAGTCACCTGCTGTACAGAATTTAAAATTGTATAAGGTGAAGTTAATCTCCAGCATGCAGAGTTAAATTTTAACATTTTTATTGCCATTTTCAACAAGTTCCAATGTTTTAAAATCTTTTCACCTTAGTATACTTTTTTTACAGTTTACTAAATGATAGAAGACAAACGAAGAAAATTAACATGGCCACTGCTTGTAAGGTAGCTAAACTCTGCCAGGAGAAATCTGATTCTGAATCAAAGAATTCATGTGCTGGGGAAGATGAAACCCAAAATGAAAAACCTAAAACAGCCTTCCCTCCCACTGATGTCACACTGGAGGTAGAAGGAATCGATATACACCTAAATAAACAGGTGTTGATGGACAAATCACCCGTGCTAAAGGCCATGTTTGAATCTGACTTCAGCGAAAAAGGCAAAGTAAGGATATCTTTACCTGGCAAGAAGTATGGAGATTTTGTGAATTTTTTACACACGTTTTATTTCCCTGACTTCCTAGCTCCTATAACTGGTAAGTCTTCTTAAAGTTTGTTTGATTCCTATGACTTTACAGCATTACCTGTTACTTAGAGCTACACAGTTGGATCACTCCTCTGTTGTATGTCTGTCTGTCTGTTCATATACCTAAATGTTTGTACATTGATTAAAGCAATATGAGCTGCAACATTGATGTCGGAAATTTTTGTTGCAAAATTGTAATTAACTATTTCAGTGACAGAAAAAAGAACTTTTATTAACTTCTGTTGTTCATATTTGCGATGGAAGAACTATTTATAACCTTTAATTGAAGCAAAGTTACATTATTGTTGTCCTGTACAATATTGCTTTCTTATATAATACTACATATTTGATTGTACAGAATCCTTTATTCTGAAATATTTACATCCACTGAATATTATTCCTTTATTTCTTATAAAAACCATAGCCGTTAATCAGTCCATAAACGACACTAAGCAAGCCACCTGCATAGATTTCTTAAGCAAAGGCTGTTCCATCAATTATGCATACAGTGACATACACATCTATAATACAATATTTACTTTGAATGATTTTTTTAAAAAGATATAAATATAAACAATAAAATGTCTTTCTTTGTTTGTTAGTACGGGAATTAACGTCACAGCTATTGCAGAAAAAATTCAATTAACCCGCTTACGTGGGTTATGTATTTTTTTCTGCAACATATCCGTTGAATATTGAACCAGGAGTGCTTTTTCACCGTTGAAAATTGAGACCAAAAATCGCGGAATTTATACCCGAGGTCATTTTTCAACACCTTGGTAATTTTTTTCCAATCTCTTATAACTTCAACATGTTGAAAATTTACCCTGTTGAATATTATTGACCCAAAGGCACTTGTTTCGGTAACAATTTTTTTAACCCATACTATAATAATATCACAAGGTATCCATGCAGCTCCGAATTACATGGAGTACCCCCTCCCCAGAATCGCACTCATTTACACTTTCAGAGGAAATGTATTCGCAACTGTTTAATACCATTGTCATCTACGATAATTTATCTACACAACCATACATGGTATGTTTGTTTTTATTTTCTTTTATCTCCGTAAACAGCGTCAGGACTCTGCTCGCCGAGTGGAAAAGTCAAATCACCCCATGAAATGGTATGTGCTAATAATAGATTATTTCAACATGCAAGATAATTTATCAACATACAACATAAATATGTCAACATGCAATATAAATATTATCAACTGGGAATTCGGAAATTTTTTCCAAACTTATTTAAAAAAAAACCGCCTGCATACAACCTGCTAGATGTATCTTATGTTGAATGCAGTTTATCTATTTTCAACACAGTTGACATGCAAGATGATCAAGTCGACATGCAACTTAGTTATGCTGACATGCACATACATATAGGCTGTACATTTTTTGCGGAAACCGAATGAAACATTTGGGGGAAAGTGAAAGATTTTCTCCAAATGTACTGAAATGTCCCTTAGCGTACGTTCCGCAATTTACCCTTCGCGATGAGTTGAACCCAGGTTATTAAATCATAGAAGTTTTGGAAATACAACTTTTAAAGTCCTAAACAAATATCTTAGACAACCAACCATCAGCATTACAAAAGAGTATCAACTGAACTCGAACTTCTGTGTAAAGAATATTTAAAAGATAGGAAAAACAATGTTTTTTTTTCAGAACCGTCGGTTATAAATTTGTTGCCCGAACAAACATAGTTGTTCTGGCATAAAATTTATAACCGAGGCGGCTGTATTAGAGATTCTGATTTAAAAATATACGTATTGTACATTTATGTAATATTATGTACTAGAGTTCTGTGTCATATATGTGTATAATTATCGTGAATGTCAACGTAAGTTGCAGGTCGATCATGTTGACATAAATAAGCTGAATGTCAACATATATAAGTTGCATGTTGACATAAATATGTTGCATGTCAACATTTATCTTGCATGTCAACATAAATTAGTTACATGTCAACATAATTAAGTTGCACCTAGCATGTTGGAAGTCACAGGCGATTTTTGATATTTTTAGAAAATGTTTCAAATTCTTAAAACTATTATTTTGCATGAAGATGTTGACATAATTTATAGGAAACCCCCCCCCCCCCCACATGCATACAGGTACAGAAATATGCCACCATAAAGATGAAATCATATGATTTTATGTATACACGATTTAGTTATTAGTGGGTCCTTATCATCTATAGTCAGTAAAACTTCCAAATGAAACATTTGTGGCAGACTCTGTGGTGTATTTTATTTCAAGTTCATTGGGATATATCGAGTCGACTTACGAACGGAAGTAACTGATATTAATGCTAACATGTTATTGTAAAGAATAAAATTGAATTCAGTGTGTGTAGTTAATTGAAAAAAAATAATAGTTGTAAACATCAATCCATAAATATGTGTTTTTATGCTGTTGAATTTAGAACTTCAACGGACTAGGGTCTAAATTCAACACCTTTGGTCTCAATTTTCAACGTTGTAAAATCATCCCCGGCTCAATTTTCAACCCAGGTCAAAATTCTACGTTACACCGGCAGTGGGATTCGAACCCGCGGTGTAAGGATCAATTCCTTACTCCGATCCGCGACTCTAGAGCAAACGTATCGGAATGCGCTATACAGCATCTTTTGTCTTACGGTTTTGCAGGATGGCAAACATTTCTGACAACTTATTTTCATATTTTATCATAGAAATCCTAAGTCCATGCATTTTGCCTAATATTCGTACTACAAAAACGTATTGCAATACGATATTCTTCATCATCGTACTGCAATACACCGAAATACATGTATAAGGCAAACAATGCTAATAAGCCTTTAGAAAAAAAATCTGTTGTAAAAAAAAAAAAAAAAAAAAAAAAAAAATAGATAAAAAAAATTATAAAATTTTAATCTTAGTCGTAAGATTCTTTTTTTTTCTTTTTGCGAAAAGACAGAGTTTTACAAGGGAGAATATAGGAATTTGTTTTGAGAATGACAAGACCAGACTAAATCATATTAAAAAGCAAAACATACCAAAACAAAACTTACCAAGGTTAGATCCAAATTTACATAATGAATGTATACAGGGAAAAATCATCTTCAGAACAAGTTGATAGTACTGATATTGAAGCAATATTGTGTGGATTCAATATTGACCGAATTGTTGATCTCTAATAGCCAGATTTTGGTCCACAATAGAGAGTAAAAATTATTAGAGAGGGAAATTAAAATTAAACTAGATGCTGTCATATGACAGTAATACCCGCACCAAGGTGTTTGCCTCTAAATGCACACTCCTTCATATTGGGCTTACCAAGGAAAAAGTCAAAAATAATTCTATAATTTACACAGTACATGTATTCGTCAAATCGAGCATAAAATGCTCAGGTGACCTTGTGACCTATGAGCCTTTTATAGGTATTTCCTTTACTTAATTCATTTCCAGTCTGAAATAACAGAATTGAATTAATGATGTAAATTAGGATTTGATAAAAGAGGAGATATAAATTTTTGGCCCATAATTGGAACTACTAAATTTATTTTCTCAACAACAAATAATATTATTTTAGTACAAAGCGTTTTTGATGAATTTATCAAAATGTGCAAACTTTGTTTTAAGTTTTTGATTAGGCAAAAACCTCCTTGAAAAGCCATACCCAATCAATTTTGTCCACCCCCCCCCCCCCCCAACACACAACAATTTGCCTGTTTTTGGAAATAGGCCTAGATGGCAAAGTTACGTTAAAACATCGATTGTTAAGATAATTTAAAATTTGTTCTTGTACTGTACATGTATGTGAAAATTTCTACGTCACATTGGGCTTGCGTCACCCTACTAGTACTAGTACTAGTTTTACCATTATCATTTTTACATTGCACATGGTGCAGTGTGGTGTAAAAATCATTACATGTATATCAGTAGAAATTAATTCATTTTGTGTTTTAATTGCATGGATTATATTTCATGAAGTTGACAGGACCTATGACAGTCGGTAAGTACAAGTTTAAGTATTGATTTGAGGTAAAATAACCGAATTGCAAAAGGTTAGAGTTTAAAAAGGATCAAAGATCATCGAATGCCACAATAGACGAATTTCACATTGTGAAGAGTTATCTCCCGTTGTCGACATTACATTCAGTTACAGGCACAGATCCAGGAATTTTTGCCGGGAAAAAACAAACAAACAAACAAACAAAATAAATACAATGATGGTGGGGTTCATGTTTTTAAAGGGGGGAGGGCGTCCAAAGTCATTTTTTATTTGCTTCTGTAAATCAGTATAAAGTCCTATTTAAATAACTCTGCAAATTCCATTGGGGGGGAGGGGGGTCCAATCTCCCTAGCCGCTCCCTGTCCCTGAAATGACAAATGATCATATGACTCCAAAATAGTAGAAAACTTTTCCATTTGACTGTACATAATTTTGTTTCTTGTGTTATTATGTTATGTACATTTAATGGTTTAAGGTTATGAACCCCTGGAGGTCATCCCCATTCTCTTAATGAACTGGAAATGTTCACAATATGACTACATCAAATTAAACTAGGGCTAAATGTAACAGGAACCGTTACAGATGTTCCCCAAACGCTCAGAGCAAACTTCGTTTGGAGAACATAATAAAAGTGCATCGATGATAAGATTGCTTGACATTTCATTCATGAATATGGGTCAACCCATGTACCCTCCTAGAATTAGGAATGAAAATCATTCAAAGAGATGGACCATTAAACTATTTGTATATATTCACATTTTTTTTATGTCAAAACAAAGTATTAGTTACATGAACAAACAGGGGAAGGGGCGAGGGAAAGGAGTTATCTCTTTACGTCTTAGTTGTTGAAAACTCCTAAAATGAATGTTAACCTCAAATCCAACTTGCACGTCTTCATTATCTTTAAGTGGTGACAGGTGTCTCCATAAGTGAAAAATTCCCGAGAGGGACATTTAACAACAAACAAACATTAATGACTTAAAAAACACAATGTACATGTGTAGCGCCGACCGAGCGGTCGTATTTAATTAAG